GGCATATATTTCTGAGGGCCAAATTAAATATTAATGGAAATACTAGTAATGAGATTTCCATAGAGATATATGCCTAAGCAAAGAGATTTGCAAAGTAAACTTGGATTTACTCTTCATTATTTAATGATTTATTTATTAAATTGTTTATTAAATTTGTGTACTGCACAAATTTAGTACTCAGGGTGGTTTACATCCAAAATAAAATAACCATAGCATAAAACAAAATAAATGTAAGTGATATACTAAATACTAACACACATATATAGATGAACAAGGCAGCCCAGAACTAAAATCAGAAAACCAGTTTATGGTGAACGGGCAACATGATGATTGTCTACCTGTAGATCATTAGGACTTGAAAAAAGGATGCTCTCAGAGGCTTCAGTAACCAGACTTGTTTTGAGCATCCTTTTAAATCCACTGAAGCTATTCCAAAGGGATGGAGGCACAACCAAGAAGGCCTTGTTTCAAGTTGATGTTTTCACGTTGATGTTTTCAATGGTGTTTTTGTGTTGATGCTCTCAATGATGTTAAAAGACAAAATATGGGTAAATACAACAAAAATATGGAGGTGAGCAGAAAGCATATGCCATGACAGCTTTTACCAGTAGAACTGCCATTTATAAAAATGTTCTAAATGTATTATATGCGTTGACACCCCTTACTCAGTTTCTTGCTCTGATCCTTTTTGTCAGGGAGGGGGCATCTCTTCCAGATGTTTTTGGATGGCACTCCCTATCAATAGGCATAGGATTTTCAGATTCTTTTACTACAGTTACTAGTATTCAGCAGGAATTCCCCCAGATATTTAATTCTGGTAGCTTTACCCAATAAGTCCAAGTTCTCAGATAAGTTTCAGGATACATACCTGTTCTTTGTCAAGGCTCTTTCTGCACTGATGGCCATTGGAGAGGGAGAGGGAGCAACTGTATGGCGTTTAACTGAACGGTGCCCATATGTGAAGTATCATAACATGCATGGCTAATCAAATGTGAAACTAGTGGGGGATGGTAGTCTCTCTATTAGGCTCTATAGCTGCAGGATCACCACTTCTTCAATAGATCCTTGCCCGGCCTGGTTGCTGAAAGTGCGTGGCCTGTAGCAGTAGAGTGAGCTACTGCCATTATTAATGGGTCTCTCTTAGAGGGCAGGGTGCCTTGCCCTCAAGGAGACACTCATTAGACTGATTTGCAAAAAGCCCAATTTTGTGGCGGACAACAAAAGCAACTACAGACCTGTCGCCACTGTCCCTTTCATCAGCAAGCTGGTGGAAAGAGTGGTGGCTGACTAGCTTCAGGCTCTCCTGGAGGAAACCAATGCCCTTGATCCATTTCCTTCCAGGTTCAGGCCACATCATTGCGCAGAGATGGCATTGGCCGCCCTGCAAGATGACCTTTTGAGGGAGGCTGGCAGGGGCAAAACATCCTTGTTGGTCCTCCTTGACCTATCAGCGGTCTTTAATACTGCCAACCACGGTATTCTCCTGGGCAAGCTCTCTGGGTTGGGGATCAGATGTTTGACTTTGGCCTGGCTCCAGTCCTTCCTGGAGAACTATGCAGCTTGGGGAGATGCCGTCCATTCCATGGACTCTCAATTGACGAGTCCGTCAGGATCATCTCCTCAGTGCTATTTAATATCTGTATGAGGCCACTGGGGGAGGTCAACAGGAGTTGTGGAGCTTCGTGTCATCAATATGCAGATGACACCCAGCTCTATCTCTCCTCCCACCCTTCTGCAGTGAATGATGTCACGTCCCTTGAGTGCTGTCTGGATGCCATGCTGGGGTGGGTGAGAGATAATAGACTGAGGCTGCACCCAGACAAGATGGAAATCCTGGGGGGGGGGTGCCCCTAGTGTCAGCAGTCTGAGCGCTTCCCTTTCCTTTGGGGGAGTCACTCTTTCTGCAGAGGATGAAGTGTGCAGCTTGGGCGTACTCTTGGACCCAGTGCTATCGATGGAATCTCAGATAGCGTTTGTGGACTGCACTGCCTATTTCCACCCAAGGCAGATTACCAGCTGCATCCTGACCTTAACACCAGGTCCCTCACCATGCAGGTCCACACACTGGTAGTCTCAAGATTAGACTACTGTAATGCTCTCTACATGGGGCTGCCCTTGGTGCTGTCGCAGAAACTTCAGCAGGTCCAGAACTCGGCCACCAGACTATTGAGTAGAGAGAGAAGACATCACTGTATCTCCCCCATCCTAGCTGCCCTGCACTGGCTACGTGTCTGTTTCCATGCCGGCTTCAAGGTTAATACACAAGGCCCTAAACGGTTTGGGACCTCATTATCTGGCAGAATGCCTCCTTCCAGCTAGATCTGCCCACCCTGTAAGAACTTCCCAGACTGGGTGGTTGAGATTTCTGACCCCAAGAGAGGCTCAGAAAACAGCAAACAGAAGCTGGGCCTTCTCAGTGGTCACCCTATAATTGTGGAATGGTCTCCCTCACGAAATTCACCTGGGCCCTTCATTGGGAACATTCAGACGATCAATAAAAACATGGTTATTTATACAGGCCTTCCCGGACTCTATAATATCCTCACACAATGGTGCAGTGGTCAGGGAACAGGGGTAAATTACCCCAAATGGAGTAAAAATGAAAATCCTGGGGGTAATGAATATGGTCGCGGCAGGCATTTTACCCCCAGGCATTTTATTTCCAACGATGCTGTGTGTAGGCGGGCATTCTGTCGCAGGGAGAGTGAACCCTGGCGAGGAACTGCACAGGCCACCCGCCTGCCCTCCTCGCCTCCAAAGTTGGGGGGGAGGGCGGCATGGCAGGCCAGCTGGACTCTTTGCCCAGCGGAGCCCTGGCTGGGGCTCCTTCCTGCCTGCACCCACCCGCCCGGTGCTCTGGCAAGGAGGCCCCCTTCCTGCCCACCTCACCTGAGCTCATGGCTGGTGGACCTGATAAATAAATAAATAAATAAAATATAGAAGGTGCCTCTCAAAAAACTACTGGCCCCTTAATGCTTTTCAGTTGCCATGGAGCTTAGAAAGCTCCACCTATATCCTCCATGCTTAATGCCTGTCGCTGCAGAGGGCAAAACATCTGTGGATCAGAATTGCTAGTCCCCGTTCACTTCCCCCTTTCATTTAGGATCTTTCAAAACTGGATTATGAGGTTGACTGCCTATCATCAGAACTCAAAGAGTAATTCCACATTTGATTAGCCATGTAAGTTTGCTCCTGCATATATGGGCAGCTCTCAGCTCAATGTCTTACTCCCTCTCCAGTCCTCAGCTGATCCTTCTTCCTCCTCTTAGTTGGCTGGCATTGGAAGCAGCCGAAGAGGCCACTAGTTAGCACACTTCTCAGCTGTTCTTAGTGTCAGTCAGCTGTGCAGTGTCGGGAGGTATACAGTGAGATTGCTGAGAACTTTGTGGTGGGATCTCAATATATCAGGACTCAAGTCTGAAATCTCTACAGCCACTTTGCTATGGTTGCTGGGGAGATTAGTATGTGAGTGGTGAGACGTAGTTTGTGTGCTCATTATTATGGATAAGACCAGAGTGGTGCCACAGTCTAGGAAAAGAAGACTGCATAGCAGACAGCTATGGTTTTCAAGGGTATTGCGCATGAGCCAACAGGGGGTGCTGTTATGCCTTCCCTGGCAAAGTGCCACACGATTAACTGCTAAATAAATGTTATATGCTAGCAAGTCACCTCTGATATTTGGTGACCTTATGAATGAGCAGTCTCCAAAATGTCGTATCTTCAGCAGCCCTGCTCAGCTCCTACAAACTCAAGCCTGTGGCTTTCTTTAGGGAGTCTTTCCACCTCGTATTTGGTCTTCCTCTTTTCTTGCTGCCTTCAACCTTTCCCAGCATTATTGTCTTTTCCAGAGAATCCTGCCTTCTCATGTTGTGCCCAAAGTAAGACAGCTTCAGTTTCAACATTGGGTTTTTGGACTCGTAAAATTCTGCAGACTCACACCTTCAGATACTTATAGTTCCCTCGCCTAGAGCAGTGCCTAGCCCTCTGAGGCTGCATTCTATGCCATTTCCTGCTACCGTCCTTCCTGCTCATCAGTCCTTCAGGAGATGCCCTCTGTTCAACCTAAAGGCAGCAAGACTACCCACACCCAGGAAGCATTGTAGCAGCTTCCTCCCTGGATGCCTTGCAGCTGGCAATGAAAGCCTAGAATGCAGCCTCCGAGGGCTAGGCCCTGCTCTAGAAGAAGGAAATGGTATCTATATTTCTGTGAGTCTGTGGACTGGAACTCCCTGAATTCTTCCTCAGGAATTTTTGGAGAATTCTGGGAGTTGGAGTCCAAGAAATATGAATGGTACATCCCTACTGCCTTCTTCATTGTGTATCTTCACTCTCTGTCCCAGGGTGGTAGGCATTTGATGGTGACTCTTTCTGCTATGAGTCATATCAAGTAGCAGGACGAAACATACCGAGCATTCTGTGTCCCCAGTGATGCCTGAACAAATAAATGCAGTTGGCTTCTTTCCAGGTCAAGCTGTGTATGTGTCTGTTTTTCTACCCAAACCATTTCCTGTTTTTAAAATGAATTACACATAGTTAGAGCATAACAACAAGGAAAGGACAATCATTTGATTACATAATAATAATAATAATCATCATCATCATCATCATCATAATCTCTTGATTACATGGACTGAAACACCTGAACAATGTAATCTTGTACATGTAAACTTGAAAGTGTGGCCCATGGAGTTCATTTACCAAGTTTCCATGTTAATACATATACATTTGTATCCTACGTAATTGGCTGCTGTGTTGGGATGAGCTGAAATCTGTCCTGTCTTGCTATATGCGTATCTGCCATTGTGGAGCTGCCCATGCCATTTCAAATCTATATACACTTCTATGTTTATGGAGCTGCTTTTTGTATGTTCATGAACCTTTTTCTCTTATAATATATATGAGCCACCACAACTCATTAAAAATGCCTAATTTTTTAAACTCTTAAATTTATTATTGTTGTTCATTTTCAAATTTGTTCTTTGCTCTTCCCCCCTTTCTAGGCTGTATTGAGTCCTCTTATAGCAATTGCACTGAAAATATCTCAGATTCACGAGAGGACAGGTCGTAAAGGTCCTACTGTCATCACCTGAACAAGGGAAGGAGCAATAACCCAGGGCCAAATATGAGAAAGCAAGGTGGAAAGAAGACCTGACTGAAACACATCAGCTTTTTGTGCCTTATTACAACTTAAAGGGCTTGAGGGAATTGGGATGGGGGTGCAGGATAAATTTCAGTACTGATTGTATTTTGTTTCATTGTTCTACTAAACCAGCAATGCACTTACTTCTGTACTATGGCTTCAAGTATTTTCTTACACACAAAATAACCAAACAGAATGCTTCATTTATATTAACAGTCTGTTATTTCATAATGTGAGCATGACAGGAAAGGTTTTTGTGTTCTGCTTTTGCCAAGCAGGAGTGGGCTACATACTCCTTTGGCTGGGCTTTGTTGCATTATACAGGGTCCAGGTGGCAGTTTGTATTTTAAGATTCCTCAATTTTAATTCACTCTTATGTAGCCTTAATAAGTTTTAAACTATAAAATTGTATTTTCAAAAAGCCTAGGGAAAAAAAATAAGTTATATACCCCATGATGTCCAGACCTATCTTTTGATTGCCATGGTCTACTTCATGATTTTGAGTTAGACTATTAGAGAGCTCTGGGTCGTTGCAGCTGACTAGAACATTCAGCTACTAATAAGGGACTAAACACTTATCCAAGATGCTAGGAATTTTTTCTTTGGATGAAATGTCACACAAGGCGCAGAGCCCAAACAGTGCAGCTCATGCACAGAAACTGCAGATCTGGCTGTTCTGCTTAGAGATTTATACCCTATGTTTACTCAGGAGTAAGCCCCAGTGAGCTCAATAGAATTTTCCTCCATGTCAATGTGCACAGTGTAGCAATTTTAAACTGAGATTTCATTGAACCATTTATGATTTCCAAAGCATGCTTGCAACGGCCAATCCTAAACTCTCAGCCAAAGTTCTATGACTAATAAGTACTGTTTTCTGTACCAGCTGAAGCTTGGCATGTGCTGCATTCTTGCACACTTTATGTAAGTAAAACTTTCAAATTCAAAAGGTGGAGAAAGAAAATCACCGTGCAGCCAGCTCTTTGGCAAACAGTTTCTGTTTTCTGCTCTTGCCTCCTCAGTTAATCACAAATCGGCAGCAGTGCAGATGCTCTACACATGTGGCCTGCACACTTGCAGTTAAAAAGTGTAATGGCTTTTCCCCTCCTAGCCCCCTTTCAGATCTTTTTTGTGACTCTGTCTAGTTTTAATTTAAAGAATATCTCTATTGTACTGTTACTAAACAATACCCGAGGCAACCTCCTCCTTTTAGCATTGAGTTACAGCAGCTGGCTGGGCAGAGGGCCATGACTTTCTTCTGTTACATTTTACTGCTTTTGAAAGGAAACTGCTAGACTAGCCTCCCCTCCCCCCAGCTTTATTTTAAATAAACGAGTTGTTATGAAGCTATATTTTGAAATGAACAGGTGTTCCATTTCTTTAGGGGTGTTTGGTCATGACAAAGTCAGACTTTTAATTTGGAGAGATTGTGTGATTCTTTTAGAACCCCCAACTATGAATTAAAAGGAGTATACTGTATCAGAAATGTCTCTGCATAAGTGTTCATTTACCACACATTGATTTAACCAGAGTGTGGACCCTAAAATGTCATTGTTTTGTACTTATACAAATGTATGATAACTGAATGTTCTAATTAATTACATTTCTGGTACTCAACTGTCTTTTAAAAAGGATTACATGTCATCATACAGATGGAAATATAAGTGTATGTAGCATAATCCTCTGAGATAAATTAAAGAACAGAAGTCAACAAAACAAGATTTCTGTTCATGATCCATCCAGAATATATTCAGGTCCCCACAGAACATGTGGATAGTGCTTGTCCATCTTTAATGATCATGTGGTTCCTTTCAAAGGTAGCACAGAATGAAATAGTGGAAGTGATCCACATTGCTTGTGTAAGATTTCTAGTTGTTCATGCTTCCTGTTATCTCTTGAAAAAAATTGTAACTATGCTGAAACAATGTGTCAGGCATAGCCTTAAAAACCATTAGTGCCTTAGAAATGATGATTTCCACCTCTGCTCAGTGGAACAAGCACTCTGACAAATTGATTTTCCTTTGGCTTAGTTTCTCTCAAATTAATGGTGGCACAAGAATGGTGTGGAAGCCATTTAATATCCTAAACCACTTCCAGATCCATTTAGAAACACAGTAGTAGTGTGGTTCTTTTCATCACTTCCCTAAATAAAGGGAGGTAGGGTGTTGGAAAAGACAAATCATCTATGAAAATGTGACAGCTTCAATTTTAGTTCATTAATGAAATACCATTGAAATGAATTAGACTCATTCCTTTTGCATCACTCTAGTTTAAGGGATGGCAGGTCTGTTTGAGAGTTCAGATTACCTGCTGCAAAAGGGAGGCATTTTGTGCCTCTGGCTGTGTTTAGAGTGGAGTGGAGCCTGAGAAGGAGACTATCCCAAATAAAATATGATCTGTGCTGCCTGTGGAAGGGTAATAAATTGAAGGTTTAAAAGTCCTTTTCTAATTCACTTAGCTGTCTGAAAGTCTACCAAATGTTTTTTTCAGAAGGTCGCAGAATGAGTCATCAGGGAACAGATGGAGCAGAAGAGAGGATTCTCATTGAATGGTTGGGTACAGCAAACGTTGCTTGTGCCTGGGAAATAATAGCATGACTCCAACAGTGCCTCACAACCCTGAAAGGATGAGAACTCTTTCTGTGTTTGACTCATGTGGATGTTTTTCTTTTTTGGGAATAGAGAGGTGTGGCTGCTTGTTATGTGTTGAGGCAGCTTTTATGCAATCTGAAACTTTTGTAGCCTAGTAACATCCATTGCAGTGGCCGTATGTTCATTATTCATGCAATCTTGGGCATTCTTGTGCTGTTGGAAATTGATCTGGTTTCTTTTTGGTATTTGTCAAAACATGCAATGATATTTATTATATATGTCCACTGCCACATTTCTGCTATTGCTGAAGAAAGGTCATGGTGTGCCGTAACACAATACTGTACCTTTTTAAAAAAAAGCTATGTCTAAACAAATGAGACTCTAGTTATTTCCTCACTTCTAAAATCACAGTGTTTTATGGCAGCATCATTAAACATCTTTTTTGTAAATCAAAATAAGTTTTATTATTCCTTCTCGTGCAATATCAGTATGTAAACACTCCACATTTGCCAGTAGGTCGCAGTGGCCGTTGCCTTCATTGCCATTGGCTTTGCTACTGTGATGAGGAACAAGACAGCCATAAACAACTGAGATGACATTTCAAGTACATTGTAATTTCTGTTGAATTAAAACTATTATTGCTGATTTGCCATACACTTCAAAACATCAGTTTATTGGCTCTTACTGGAGACTTTTCATGGAGTACTAATAATAAATATAATTGTGTACTGTTAAGCCAATTCCAACTTACAGCAACCCTCCTCAGATTTGTTTAGGTATAAAGTACTCAGAAATAGTTTACCATTCACTTATTTTGGGAATGGGACCACGTAGTTTGCCCATACAGTTCATTACTTTTCAGGACTAGAAACCCTCTCAATTTTATTATTTAGTTCAAACAGTTTAATGGCCAATTAAACCAATTTGAAGTAGTTGTCAAAAGTATGAGCAAAATATAATGTGTAATAACTCAAACTTATGCAAAGTCAAATGTTTCCTTGCTCAACCATAATATTTACTGACAAATTACTGCCTCTTAACCAAATTTTTAATATTGTCATAAGAATAAAAGCTATGTGAAGTTAAGATGTGCACTGGAAACTGCTGATCTGGAGAAAATTCAGTTCTTTAAAAAACATCTCCTTTTTGTGAATGTAATATATTGTGCTTCTGTATCCACAATTCAGAGTCCCATGAAAAGGTATCATATTGCTTTGCTGCACAATATTTTTCTTGTGTTGTGAGCAGGAAAAAAGATGCAAAATTTTAAATGGCAAAGGGCAGCCTGACTGTTGACAACACCCATTTCAGCTTTCAAGATAGTCTACAGGATACTCTTGGGCTCACTATGATTTCAAAGTATTTTGATTCATTTTGTAGCTCCAATATACCTAGAGAACTTGTTGAAAAAAAGCCCTGACAACTGCTTTGTGTTTGGCTGAGAAGTGAGTAATTGATGAAAAAATGAGTCAGATTTTGGGATTTTCCTTGCTTCTTGTTTCTTTGTGAATGGTAGTGGCTCTCTTGCGTGGTGATCAAATAACAGAAAGTTTGTGTGTATGTGCATGTGTGTGTACGTACGCAGGTGCACACATGTGCACACACAAAGGCTCTTGCAGGAGCTGTTTATTCAGTCATGAAACTATCCAAAGTCAAGCTCATTTAAAAGCTTTGCTATGAAATCCATTGCATTCTATTTTGGACTTCTTTTGTTCTTTAATATAAATGTCCCTTCCATCAAGCAAAAGCAAGTTTTCTCTTTAAATGTTTTCAGTACAAAACTTTATTTTAAGAAAAAGAAAGTGCAATTAAATATTAAGCAGTATGTAAATCAGATAGCCCGAGAACTCCACACTCTGTCATTACAAAATAAGAAATTGCATCTGTTCGATAGTTCTTCAGGACGTTTCCTATCTCACAGATAACCATTGCTAACAGAAAACAAAGAAAGTGATGCCAGAGCTCCACACAATACTGAAAAGTAACTGAACATATTGTATATGGACATGAAGTGTACCAGTACTAGTTATCGTAAAGTGCAAGTGTGGTTGTGGTCTTCATATTCATTTGCTGATTTTTAATAAAAAAATATAGGCCAATTAACTGTACATAGAGGTTTTCCCTTTCAAGAACTTGAAAGGCAGTTACAGTTCATGAACAGGAGTACCTAAGGGAAAATAGCTCAGTTGCATTATTATACAAGCATCCTTTTCAGAAATCTTGAACAAACATTAACAGTATATTTCATCTGACAGAATGCTTTGCCCATGTATTTTAGCTGGAGGCTTTCATATATACATTGCACAATACTACTACAGCCATTAAAAACAAAACAGGCAAATGTACACTCCCAGATAAACAGTTTGCATTCAGGTTGAACTGCATTCTGCAGTTGAACTCGTATATTTTCATGCAACTATCTCAAGTTTAATTCAAAGCTTTTTGTTTACTTCAGCTGTAAAACTGATCTGTTGAGTACAACCAAGGTTTACTCTCATTCAATCACCACAGCTGGCTCTCCGTTAGAAGACCCTTCATCTCTTTGTACAGAGCAGTGCTCAGGAAACAATTTATAGCACTCAGGAGTTTAACTCCGAAAAAAATACCTCTCATCATCCTTGTGGATGCCAAGGATAGAACAAAATACTTCCCTACAGCAGAAGCATAGCTTCTCTCAGTCAGTAGGTATGTACAATTCCCTCATTCGTTATTAGACCAGATGCTCTCCTTAGGATATTTACCCCATGCTTTCAAACATGTCAGTGCCTCTGACACATCATCGTGCTACTATTGATATTTTTTATAGGTGGTTGTTGCAGTCATTTCCTAACACAAGTAAAGTAAAACCACAACAATGTAAACAGACAGATCAATTGTTGCAGTGGGCCAATAATACTGGATTGAACCCAGCACATTATTCATAGCAACCGCAAACCTTACTCCTGGTTGAAAGTACCACATTATTTCTAAGTTAACCTTTGTAATGCCACACAGCTAGCCACTGAACACTACCTCCCCACAGGGTTAGTTTTGTAGCCAGTGTACACTGCTGGAAGAAACCGGTCCCTTCAGGGGTGCTCTGCACCATTGCCTCCTTCCAGGAAGAGCAGGGATGCCTTCTCTCTCTCAGATTCTTCGACAGGCTGTTTCATTAGCAGTTGGTCTGTGACACAGGCGCATTGAGAGTCTCCTCCTCTCTTAGGTCATGTGCTGCAGCTTGCTGCTGCAGGGATATTTCATAGGAAGGAGGCTGTTCTTCCTGAGCGCTGGCTTCCTCAATGAATTCAAGGCTGCTCTCTGTGTACAGAGGTGGAGGTATATTGTAAGTTTCCTTCTGTCGTTCCAGTGGGCAGACTGGCAGCTGGAAGGTCTGCTTTTCAGGATCAGTGCTGTCTTCATATGATGGAGGATAAAAGTCAGGCCTGAAGGGGGGAAAAACACACAAAAACACAAACTGTTTTAAAAGACCTATGTACTAACATTGCACCAATCTATATATTGTTTGAATGTTTGCCACAAAGTAATCTGCAGAAATCCTTGGCTTGCATCTACTCACTACAATGTTAATTCTCCTCAGAGGTAAACAGTCACAAGCTTTACATTACCTTGGGAGCCACATGTGCAGAGATTTAAACCAATAAGGGGAGGAGGGCATCTGAATGATAAGTGTTTTGTTTTATAGGCCTGCATCTTTGACATGGTTGCTTTCAGAAATCTTAATATGTGTATCAGTGACCACATGATAAGTCTCAGACATGGAAGAATGACCCACATTTTGCCCAGTGTTAATGTGCTTTTCTATTAAAAGTACCTGTTTGTTCAGGAAGTGCGTATTCTGATTAAATCTCTTTATATAGTATAATTTATTTTCCAGTACTGGCTATAAGCTCTTTCAAAGTGTTAAACCTTTCTGGTTATCTACCCAGGGGTATGTGCTAAGTCTTATTTATAGATCCGCTGCTTTGCCAATTGTGAGTGTTTATGGCACTGTTACTACAACAGAACAGGAAGTGACATTTGTGTTCCATGGCCCATTAACAAACTTTGCCAAGCAAGAGGCCACCTTGACTTAAGGAAACTCTTACTGTGACAGCATCAGCCTTTACTCTAGGAATGGCAGGCAGAATTATACAGAAGACTCAATCTCATATGAAGTACAGGATGTTTATAATCTCTTGAAAAATACTGAAGAGTCATTTGTACTTGGGGTTGAATTGCATCTTAAAGATTGAAATTCAATCTTAGTATTTAAAATACTGAGAACCTATTTTGAAGTAATTGTTTTATTCTGAACTTCATGAGAGTATGTGCTAAAAAAGGATCAAGTGATTCTTGGTCATTCTTGGTTCTCATAATCAAAATGTTTGCTAAGTCTCAAAGTATTTTGTATGTACCCTAGCAGATGTACAGCTTTTTTTAAAAAAAAATCTTGTCGTTCAGTTATTTATTATAAATCCTGATGTTTTGAATACTGTCCTGAAAAGTATAGATTTTTCTTATGCTCATAACAATTCTGTGAGAGAGGTAGGACTCACAGAAGGCCACTTAGGGAGCTTTGTTGATTGAGCATAGAACTTAATTTGGTTTTTCTTTATCAAAATAAACGCTGTAGTACTATCCTTGTTCTTTGCATCATGGGAGACTATCTGAGATAGAAAATGTTACACAGAGAGCAGTAGTTCAAAGGATTGAAAGTGGGGTGTGACAAGTACTCCTAGTATTTCTTAATTGTAGCAATTTTCCAAGTCTTGCCATGCTCCCTGCTGAGACTTTCCCCGTAACCAGTGAAAAAAGAATGCACTTAATTTCTCCGCCTTTTTCCCTTAAATTTTTGGATCATTATTCTACGCAGAAAACGGCCAAATCCTGCACAATTTTTGCCCTTTTCAGTGAATCCTGCATAGGAAAGGAGCCATTTTATGCAAGCACTGTAACAATGCTTTGCAAGTTGGCATTTCTTCTGCTCTTTTCAGGTGAATTCTGCACAAGAAAGGTATTATACAGTGCAATAATTGTAATAATCCTGTGCAGCCTGGCATTTTGTCCAGAAAATAAATGACCCCCAAAATTCTCTCAAATCCTTCAAGATTTATTTCCCACAGGATTTCTCAGAGAGGGAAAAAACATATATCCTGCAGATAAATTTTATTTTGGGAGAAAAGAGATATTCTTTTCCCTCAGTTTTCCTATGAGAGTCAGAATCAGGAATGGAATAATATTAAATAGTTAAGTAAAAAATACATTTGGTTTTACAAAACAAAACAGGAACAAAATACATCATCCTCATCACATTGGATTAATCATAGAAGAAAGGAAAGTAAAAAAAGTGGCACGGTATTTGTCTGGAAGGATTGTTTCAGATTCTTTCTTAAAATGGTTGCTATATTGCAACAGTCGAATAGATTAGGGTTAGGTTGGGTTTGGACAGCTATTTACAAGTTGGAAATGAAATTAG